AAACAATGCCACTGGTTGAGCTCGGTTTACATGCCTCAGACCCCCTCCCCTCTCTTCAGGTATCTCCTCAGGTGTAGTGCAGGTAACCCTCTCAGGTGCAGGTCCCCCCCTCAGGTGCAGGTTCCCTTGGCGTCTGTGTCGTGTGGCCTTGCCTCAACCAGTGGCCCTCTTTCACATTTGGCAGTTCCGGTCTCTGCCTTGTGTTGTGCCCATGCCATGCATACTGACCACTGCCGTGTGTGTGCATTGCAGGTGGAGGAGAGGGGCGCTGGGGTCAACACCGACGCTTCCCCGCGCCCCTCCCCCTGTGGCCGTGCAGGGACTCGTGGGGACGGGAGGGAGGCAGCACTGCAGCATGGCAATCCCAGTGCAGCAAGGGAGAGTATCGGGATGGGCTTGGCCTCTCAAGGTAAGCCTCGTGCCTCTCCCTGCCACTGCACTCGTTTTCTGCCGCACTTGTTGCCGTGGGTCTTTGTTGCTGTCGGTCTTTGTGCTTCGCCCTTGCTTGCCTCACGGCCTGCACTCACTCGCCTCCTCTCCTTCCTTCCCTTCTGCCCCCTTCCAGGTCCCTCACAATGCAGCAGAGGCAGCTCTGTGCCACCTTAACGGAACCACTTGCGGCGGCGGCAGCAGCAGCAGCAGCAGCAGCAGCAGCAGCGGTGGCGGCGGCGGCGATACCGGCGGCGGCGGCGGCGGCAGCAGGGGAGGGGAGGGAAGGAGTCAGCATCCTGCAGCTAAGTGCCTTCTCTTCCCCTGGAACCACCCTTGCTTGCAGCTCTTTCCTCACGTTGCTCCCTGAATCATCGTCGCATGTGCTTCCGCATTTTCTCCCTAAGAACTCGCCACTGGTTGGGGCCCGGTTTGCAGGCCACAGATCCTCCCCCTTAGCTCCTAAGCCCCTCAGGTTAAGCCCTCCCTAGGCCTTACACCCCCCTCAGGTTACCCCTTACTTTCAGGTTCATTTTTCAGGTTCCCTAGATGGTCCGTGGCTTGTGATTCTTCCCTCCATCAGTGGCCCCTTCCCTCCACTTCCCTGCGTTTGTATTCCCAGCTGCCATGCCAGCCGTGTGTTATGATTGCACACTCACTATCTCTGCGTGTGTGCGTTGCTGGTGGAGGGAGGGGCGTGTGGGTCGACGCCAACACTCCCCCACGCCCCTCCCTTGTGGCCGTGCAGGTACCCACGGGGATGGGAGGGCGGCAGCACTGCAGCAGCTTGCAGTTGGTGCCACAAGGGAGAGTATTGGGGTGGGCTGGCCTCTCAAGGTGCGTTACCTCCCTCCTTAGAGTGCATTTGTTGCTTCGGTTCTCTCTGCATTTAGCCCTTGTTGTCTTTGTCAGCTTATGCGTTTCTGTGTTGACTTTAGTGTTTCTGTTCACGTCACATCACTAACCTTCTGCCCTTTCTCTCCTGCCCCCCTCCCCCCCTTTTCTGCCCGCCACCAGGTCATTCTGCATCAAGAGAAGAGTGCAGCAGAGGAAGCAGAGTAGCAGACCGGCAGCAGCAGTTGCAGCAGCAGAAGCAGCAGCGCAGCAGCAGTGGGGGGGTGGGGGGCTGGGCAGGAGACTAGGCTAGGCGTGGTCTGAGCGAGGTGTGGTAAAAGGTTTGGTAAGGTACCAGGTGAGGTGTGGTGATCTGATTCCCTCCCCTCTCTCTCTCCCTCCCTTTAACTCCTGCAGGCTGAAGGTGGGAGCACTGGAGTGGAGTCCACCCCCTCACTCACGTCCTCCTCTCTCCCTTCTCCTTTCCCTCCCAGCAGCACCCTGCCTGGACCACTGAGGAGTCTCTCCCTCCCCTAATCCCCCCTTCTCTCTCCACTTCCCAGCAGCCTCAGCATCATGGCGCTCTGCACGGCTGTGGTAGGTACAGGTGAGTAGGCATGGGGGTGAAGTGTGGGGTGGGTGGGTGGGGAGCAAGCGGGGAGTTCACTGCCTTAGGGGCAGCATCACCTGGGGTTGTGCCTTGTGGGTCGGGGTGTGGTGGGTGGAATCTGTGCGGCACGGCACTCGGTGCTCAGGTTCCCGATCTGACGTGCAAGGCCTAATGGACACCGTCAGAGCCGACCGGCCGGCGGCTCTGGTTCGCGTCAGCTCTGGCTACGTCAGGGGTGGGATTTGAGTCTTGGGCTGGAAGCAATTTTCCACTACCACACCTCGCCCCACAAGGCACCGCCTCTGGGGGTGCTGTTTTCCTTAAGGAAGTGGGCTGTCTGCTGCTCCTACTGCTAGCAGGTAATGGTGGGGAGGGCCTGGGTGGGTGAGAGAGAGAAGGGGCCTGAATCCCCTTGGGTGGGAGAGAGAGGGAGGGGGCCTGAATCCCCTTTGGTGGGTGAGAGATGGAAGGGGCCTGAATCCCCTTGGGTGGGTGAGAGAGGGAAGGGGCCTGAAAACACTAAGGGTGAGTTGGCGGTGGCGAAGGGTTGAAACATTCTGGGCAAGGAGAGAGCAAGGCAGGGAAGGGGGGTTCGGGATCTCAGGATAAGGCTGGCTAGGGGCAAGGGGTGAGTCCGGGGAAGCCTCTGTGAGTGCTGTTTCCTGGAGGCAGTGGGCTGTCTGCTGCTCCTATGGCTGGCAGGTAATAGTGGAGAGGGGGATGGTGATGGTGGTGAGCGACACAAGGGGCTGAAACCCCTTGGGTGGGTGATTGGGAGAGAAGGGGCTGAAACCCCTTGGGTGGGTGATGGAGAGAAGGGGCTGAAACCCCTTGGGTGGGTGATGGAGAGAAGGGGCTGAAACCCCTTGGGTGGGTGATGGAGAGAAGGGGCTGAAACCCCTTGGGTGGGTGATGGAGAGAAGGGGCTGAAACCCCTTGGGTGGGTGAGTGGGAGAGAAGGGGCTGAAACCCCTTGGGTGGGTGAGTGGGAAGAGAAGGGACTGAAACCCCTTCGGTGGGTGAGTGGGAGAGAAGGGGCTGAAACCCCTTCGGTGGGTGAGTGGGAGAGAAGGGGCTGAAACCCCTTGGGTGGGTGAGTGGGAGAGAAGGGGCCGAAACCCCTAAGGAGGGTGAATTGGAGAGAGGGATGGGGGCTGATTCCCCCAAAGTGGGTGAGTGTGAGCGAGTGATTGGCCTGTCTTTCCTGACAGTTGGTGGAAGGGAAGGGTGCTGAAGCTTCTAGTGTGGTGTGCTATAGTGTGGTGTGCTATGGTGTGGTGTGCTATAGTGTGGTTTGCTATAGTGTGGTGTGCTATAGTGTGGTGTGTAGTGTGGTGTGCTATAGTGTGGTGTGCTATAGTGTGGTGTGCTATAGTGTGGTGTGCTAAAGTGTGGTGTGCTATAGTGTGGTGCGCTATAGTGTGGTGTGCTATAGTGTGGTGTGCTATATTGTGGTGTGCTGTGCTGTAGTGTGGTATGCTTCACTGTGGTGTTTTTTTGGTGTGGTGTGCTATAGTGTGGTCTGCTATAGTGTGGTGTGCTATAGTGTGGTGTGCTATATTGTGGTGTGCTGTAGTGTTGTATACAATAGAGTGGTGTGCTGTATTGTGGTATGCTATAATGTCGCATGCTATAGTGTGGTATGCTGTAGTGTGGTATGATGTATTGTGGTCTGCTATAGTGTTGTATGCTGTAGTGCTGTATGCAATAGAGTGGTATGCTATAGTGTGGTATGCGACAGTGTGGTATGCTATAGTGTGGTATGCTATAGTGTGGTTTCTTGTTCTGTGGTGAGTTGATTTGTGGTGTCATATGGTGTGTCATGTTTCAGCGGGCATGGTTTCTCCAACTGTGGTACCGTATGTCATTTTGTGGTATTCTATAGCACGGCATGCAATGGTGTGAGAGTCATGGCTTTGAGTGCTGGGTGTGGCGTGCCATGGTGTGGCGTAAAATGGTGTGGCATGACATTGTGCGTGTCACTTGCAGGCGGGTCAGCAATGGGAGGTGGAGCACTATGGAAGGCAAGCAAGGCTGAATCGCGAAGGAACAGAATGGGGGTGGAGGAGTGGATGCGTGTGGCATGTGGAAATCTCTCCGCTTGAACCCGCAATGCTGACGAGGGCCTGCTTTCCTATCGCATAGGATCTGGTTCTGTACAGAGCTTCAGAGCTTCGGTAACGAAGCATTCAGATCCTTGGCATTATTGTACATTTGTGTTGTTGGATAAGCTGTCTTACCATTATGAACTCGTCGGTACCCTCTCCCGCCCTCCTTGCTGAATAGAGGTAGAACATGGTGCAGCATCTTCCAGTAAGCTTGATATGTTGCAGTACGGTGGCTTAGAGCGCCTCATAAATCACCCCCTCATAACTAAACGTGGCATGTAGCTAAGTATCCTCCCGTATTGTATAGTATGCTATGATATGATTATATGGACACAATTGGGTGACTTTGATGTGCTAACTTTTCTTCTCACTTCCATGGTTTGATTCAGGGATCCTGGATCTTGCACCTAACCTGAATTCCTTGACTTAAAATGTCAGCTAAGCACATATTATGAAAGCTAGAAAGGATTGGCTGGTAGATGCAAGAGATTTGGGGAATGTAGGGCTTGGTTGAATCAAAGCTCAAGGGCTTGAAGGAGATATGAACTACAGTTTACTTCCAGTCTTCTCTGCTATACCTCACTGGCGAGGACAAGCGTGGGGTTCTTGTGCGAGCGAAATCCAGCCTTCACGCATTTTCGCGAAAAAGGCAAAAGCATATCCCTAGCTTTTCTACGTCAACCAATCACTGTCCGTCTTCGTACCACACTTTGCTCGTCTCCAGTTTGTGGCTCTCGTAGGCTCGTTTCACAACCTGGCAGTTTTGGTCACCCCTGGCGAACCGACCAAGGCTGTGAAGACCAAATTCGTTACTTCGTTCGGAAACTCCAAAACCTCCACCCGCCACTGGCTTTTCTGGCTCTCCGTAGCAGCGGCTTGCCGAACCTCCACAAAGCACAAGGGCTCCCAAGCCTGTCTGAGTTTGTCAGCAGGGACAGTGACGGAGCAGGCCAGTAGGTCCGACATGGATTCTTCCCCCAAGGTGACGAGATTAGGGTTTGATGCAGCAGCCTGCCGCCATGGATTGTACCTCGCTGGCCTCTCCACAGCAACCACCCACTCTGTGTCTTTCTGTTGAGTACGCTCTGCATTCTGTGGCTCATGTTGATTTTGGCTTGGAGAAGGTTACAGTGACCTACTCTCAAGGCAACGCTGGTCCTGTGACACGGTCCTGGGACGTCTGCAGCGCTGAACGCTCACCGCCTCCCTCCCTTCAAACTGCGGAACCGTGTTGCTTTCTATGAGGCCATGGTTGGCAAAACGGCTTTCCTAATTTTTATTTCTTATTGTCACGATTCGCGGCTTAGCTGCTGTAAGGTTCAGCGATGGTCGCGTCTGCGATAAGCGTGGAAGGTCCGATAGGCCTCGCGACGACTGTGCAGCAACCTAGCAGACCGCCGCTTGCGGGCTCGTTTGCAAGCAACCAGCAGAGTTCAGTAGGACCGGGTAACGGGAAGAAGATGAATGGGGTAATGGAGGGAAACCAGGCCAACCAACCGCCGCCGTTCTTAATAAAGACATACGATATGGTAGAAGACCCGACGACGGACCATGTCGTTTCGTGGAGTAGTGGTAACAACAGTTTCGTCGTGTGGAACCCTCCGGAGTTCGCCAGAGACCTCCTGCCCAAGTACTTTAAGCACAACAACTTCTCGAGCTTCGTCCGCCAATTAAACACCTACGTACGGCTTACCTTCTCTTGCCTAATCGTGCATTCGACTTGATTTTCTTTTTTTTTCCCCGATATACTCCATTTGATTCCTTGTTACTGGGTAGCTCCTTCCCCGTTATCTTACTATTCGTGGTCCAAAGCAATTGCAGTTTGTCCCTGTAGACTGCTCCTGCTTGTATTTCCGTACAGTTTTTTCTGAAAGTTTGTTAATTCTTCTCACTGCGCGCTTCGTGATGTTACCCAGGGGTTTCGCAAGGTGGATCCAGACCGATGGGAGTTCGCGAACGAGGGTTTCCTGCGAGGCCAGCGACACCTCCTTCGCACAATCCAGCGTCGCAAGCCCGCGTCGCAGACGGGAGCCGCAGCGACGAACTCCTCCCTCCCCCACGGCCACCCACACTCCCCCGCGTCGCTCCACGGCGCGCTCCCCGTCCCCGCGTCGCCCAGCCTAGTCGAGGTCGGCAAGTTCGGCCTAGAAGGCGAGGTGGAGAGATTAAAGCGCGACAAGAATGTCCTCATGCTTGAACTCGTGCGACTGCGGCAGCAGCAGCAGCAGCAGGCGAGCACGATGCAGGTGATGGAGCAGCGCGTGGCGATGAACGAGCAGCGGCAGCAGCACATGATGACTTTCCTCGCCAAGGCCGTTCAGAACCCCGCGTTCCTCGCGCAGCTCATGCAGCACCAGACGGACCACGCCAAGCGCACGCACGCGCACGCCGGCATGGGGCGCAAGAAGCGGCGGATCTCCAAGCAGGACGGCGGAAACTCCCCGCCGTCGGGGTCCTCCTCCCCCAGTCTGCACCCCGAGGGGCAGATTATCGCCTTCTCCCCTGCCGCAGCCGATCCTTCCATGTTCCTTCTAGAGCAGTTCTTCCCGGGTATGACCCACCCCAGTATGACCCACCCAGGCATGACGCACCCGGGAATGCCGCACGCGGGCGCCTTGGGGGTCGACGCGTCGCTTGATCCTTTCCTCCACGATCTCGCCGCTGCCGCCGCCGCCGCAGGCTCGTCGCAACCGCTCCCCCCGCGCCCTTCCACTGTAACCCTCACGGAAATGAACGTCCCTGCTGAGGGGGTCTTTCCGCCCAGCTCCTCCTATCCTGCTGCGGCCACCGCTGCTGCCACCGCAGCTGCCGCTGCCCCTTCCACTGCCGCGGCTACCGCCGCTGCCACTGCCGGTGCAACTGCCGCCGCTGTTGCTGCTGCCGCTGCTGCCGCTTCTGCTGCGTCTGCTCCATCAACTGCAGCTGCTGCAGCAGCACCCACTGCCAGCGCTCACTCGCAACCGCACCCGCACACTGCTGCTGCCCTAGTGGGCAGCACTGCCGCCGCCACTGCACCCGCAGCAGCGCCGCCAGCAATACCAGTTCCCACCCCTCACCCTGGCATTCCCCGGCCCTTTCCCATGCCGTTCACTCCCCTCCCCATGACCTACCCCCCTTCCCACCCCACCGCCGCCGCCGCTGCAGCCGCCGCCGCCGCAGCAGCAGCAGCAGCGACAGCGACAGCAGCAGGAAGCGGATACCCCGCTGCAGCGCCAATGGTGCCCACACCCCCGGGGTACCCCCCCGTGCTGCCCCCGCCTCCCCCTGGCATGGACCTATCACAGAGCCTGCTGGTGCATGGTGCAAAAATCAGCCCTTTAGGCATGCCCACCCCTTACGGCGCTGCTGCTACCGCCCCCATGCTGCATCCATACCACCCCTTGCACGCCTCTGCCCCTGCGCACGCCTCTGCCAGTGCCACTGCTACTTCCGCTGCTAATCTCGCTGCCAATGCCCCCCTCGCTGCCAACGCTAGCGCCACAGGCTCTGCCGCCTCCCTCGCCCACACAGGCCCGGCTGCTGCTGCAACTGCTGCGACTGCTGCGGATGTGTCTGGGGCGGGTGTTTCTGCTCCTGTTGCTGAGATGAAGGTGCCGCTCGGGTTGGCTGTGGAAGGCAGCAGGGTAGCGACAGGAGAGGCGTCCGGGGCGGGGGAAGGCAGCAGTGCAGCAGGCGGTGCAGTGTCGAGTGGGAAAGCGCGAGGAGACGTGGTGGGGGCAGGGGCAGGGGAGATGGCGGGAGAAGCAGGTGTGGTTGGGGGAGGAGGTGTTGGGGAGGGAGTGGGCGGGGAGGGAATAGGGGAAGGCATAGGGGAGGGGGATGGGTTGGATCTGGAAGGTACGGGGGGCTTTAATGATTCCTTCTGGCAGCAGTTTCTCAGTGTGGCGCCTGGGGAGGGGGAGGGGGAAGGGGAGGGCGGAGGGGAGGGCGATGGGCAGGGCGGTGTGTGTGTGGGGGATTTGAATGTCGATGAGCTGGCAAGGGGGGTAGAGGGGTCGCTTGACGAAGAACAAGGGAGGTAATGGAATGCGCACGGCACAGTGCTTCTGTGTATCTTGTGTAATGATTCCTTCGATGATTTCTTCTGAGTGAGTGTGTGACAGGAGGACGGATTGGGGTGTGTTTTTTTATGTTTTGTCTATGCCAAGGGGTATGGTATGTTCTTTACCGGTACTGTCCATGTTTTTAGGAGTATCCGATTTGATGCGAACTACCACTGGTTGTTGTGCCCCATTCTGGCTGGAAAGGACAGGCTGATTCGTTTTTGCTGGGGTCGAATTCTTATCATGCATTCTTCTTCCTACCTGCTCCTACCATGTCTCTGCCAGTCATTCTGGTGTGTTACCAGAGGCACAGAGCTGTGCATGCTTGGCATGGCAACCTCTTGGTTGGCATAGACAACATCTGGTCATACATCTGAGATATCTAGGCTAACTGGTCAGTAAAATGACTGTAATTGTTTTGTTTTTACGTTACCCTGTAAGTTAGTCATATCGCATAAGTGCACTCTTCTTGCAAGTTACGAACTCGTGTGGGTTGGGTTTGGAGGGTTGATTCTTGACTTCAATAAATGCAAATACTGCTGAGAACCAGGTAACCCTCACGACTGGGTAAGTGGCAGAGCACGAACAGTCCTGGAGTTTCTTTCGCTGACCATCTGACTGTAGTGAAGTTGACATGTGAACGACGGCTGCTGCCTAATCGCAGCATTTCGCCTGTACTGCAACTCTCTGCGAACATCCCTGCGTGGGCGTCGTCAGCGAGTGCGAGCATCAACCACTGGTGCCTTGAAACCGACGCGCTTCGGAAATTTTCCACGTCGCGCACGAACATCCCCCAGCGAGTCACAGGCAATTCTGCTTCTGCCCCTCCCATCCCAATGCAGCGATGTTCGTGCCAGAAAAAATCAGGCTCGCACGAAGATCGGAAGAGCGGGCGAGGGCACAATACCACGCTGCCCACACCCCCACCTTCAACCCCATCCCCACCGCGTCCCGACTTCGCCCTCCGTCCACCATCCCCACTCAAGCGACCAACTTCACCAGTGCCTCCACTCTCCTCCACGGCCCTCGTCGCGGCCCCAGCTTTTACAAGCTGCCCACCTTGAGCACGCGCTTCGTGTCGTGTCGTGAGCAGGCCCCGGAGACTCCAGGAGCAGAAGACGGTATAAAAACTCTCCATATCTGAGGATCAAATATATTTTCTACCATCGCTTCTTAGCCATCCAATTGTCACTCGTCTACAAACGTCACCAAGAGTTTCATACTCGTGGCCTACATTGCATAGTCACCATGGCTCCTCTAGTTTCTCCAAAAGGTGAGTGGATTGCTCACTCCAAAAATTTTATCGCTATTTCAATTTGACTCAAAGTGCTCTCATTTTCAACCTTCGTGCATCTCGATCTCGTCAGTCTTTGCGGTCGTCAACAAAATTCTCCATCAAAATCATTCTGAATCCTCGGCAGTCACACTGACAACAGCAATGCCCTCGCTCTGTCACCAAAATGTTCCAGCCTGTAACCTGAGATGCCCTTACTCTCGCTCCTCCGCTCTCTGCGGCTCGCATAAGTGCCGTCACTGCCCATGCTCATCGCTGTGCGCCCCTCGGCGCCCCTATCCCCCCTTACAGGCGCGCTCGTCCTCGGGCTGCTCTTTGCGTCCGCGCTCCTCACTCTCGCCGCCCGACCGAAATGTGAGTGCGCCGCTCAACCATCTCCGCCCTCCTCCCGCCATTCTTCCGCACTCTTCCCGCCCTCGTCGTGCTCCAAACTCGCTCCCTGTCACTACGTGCTGCCTTCCGCTCGCAACCCGTTGTACTGATCAATGCGCCTTTCCATGGTTCGTCGTACGTTGTCACACGTTCTCACAGGCGTGCTGTACTCGAATTGGGACTTGACGGACAAGCAGCAGACGCAGTCGAAGAAGGGCGGCAAGTCCTCCAAGTCGCTGCCCACTGGCAGACTCACCATCAAGGAGTACAAGTACGCCTACGCTTCTTCGCTCTGTCATTTGGCTGCGCCATTTCGCTACGCTTTTTCGCTGTGTCCTTTTTCGCTACGCCATTTCGCTACCCTGCTTCGCTGTGTCATTTTGCCTGCGCCATTCCGCTTGCCGTTCCCCTCTCCGCACCATTCCACCACGCCCTTCCGCCACCACTCCGCCGCCTTGCTTCCCAGCTCGCATCCCCGCCTTTCCCTAACTTTCACGTGCCTCTCTCCCGCGCGTTTCTCGATCGCAGGGGCAGCGACGACGAGTCGTTCGACCTGCAGGTGACTGCGGAGGTCAGCGAGTTACCCGAACCCCCGGTGGGGATCGTGATTGGAAAGGGCAAGTTCGGCAGCAACACGGGCGTCTCGTGGTACATCAACAAGCCGTGGAGCGGCGGCGGCGGCTCGTACAAGCTCGACTTCAAGCTGACGGCCATTGAGAAGATCAAGCCACGTGGCGGCAGCGGGACCATCCTGGAGGTGCTGCAGGCCGTGGATAAGGGTGTCGTGTCGGATTACTACACCGCTGTTCTCACCAAGTCGACCAGGAAATCCGGTGGCCTCGTTGGTGGCGGGTTCGTCAAAGGCTTCCCCAATATTCTGCCCATGTTCAGCTGCTGATTCCAAGGGGCTTGTCCTCCTTATGTTTCGGGGCCCTCCAGTATGGTCCTGTGGGCCCTCGTTCAGCCAAGTCATACATATCCGAAATGGGGGCTAATAGAGTCCCAACTCATAATTGGCTCGGCTGCAGCATTCTGGCGTTACACTTGTTTTGTATTTGTAAAAGCTATATTTTGTATGAGATGTTGTGCTTGCTTGTATAACCATAACTTTGTAGCCCATAAACTACAATGTCGCGCGTTGCATCTGAAACTCCTCTCCCCTCATAACCTCAAATGCCCTTCAATTCAAGCTGCGCCTTCATTGACATCGCGGCCTCAGTTCGACCTGATTCGAGACCACGCCTCCCCTTGCGGCCTCGAATCCTCTTCAATCACCGAAACATGCCTTCTCATCCTCTTTCCCTTCCTTCCCATCTCTCCTCCCTTCCTTCCGACCTCCATTCCCTTCTTTCCCAAGTCACATCCCTTCCTTCCTATCTCATCTCCCATCCCATGTCCCATAATTTCCATCCCATACCTCCCTTCCTGCCCTACCCTTCCTTCCCTATCCCTCCTGCCCTTCCTTTCTTGCATTCCTCTTCCCTAACCCCCGCCATCCCTGCCCTATCCTGTCCTTTGTTGGAAATCCGAATATAGTATAACAAATATTGTATACCAGTGTGCTGTTTGGTTTTAGTGTAGTCCTCGTTATAAGCATCCAGGTCCTACAATAATTGTCACAATTATTGTAGGGCCACAATTATTGGAGCCCAGCATTATTGGAGGGTAGAGGGTACAATTATTGGTACACCATTATTGGTGTGAATGGGGTCATTCTGGAGGGGTAGTTGGATGCATATATTTCAGTAAGTGGCTACAGCGGAATGAGTTGCATTGGATGGATTGGGGTACATATTCCTACCTCTAAATGTTTGTACCCTATACTGCACAACCCACTAATGGCTAGAATACTTGACACACCCCCATAGCCTAAGTGGGGAGTGCAGGGTAACAACAAACAACCTAAGGTCACAAGTCCGGTCACCAACAAAAGACAAAACAAAGCTTAGGGTGGATCACAACGTCACCACACAGTCTGAGCGCAAACAGCGGCCACAAGGCCAGTTCAAGAGTGTATATGCAAATATATACAGTACAAGCAAAGACAAGAGACAAGCACTCAGTACTGCAGTCTACTCGACCCAGTCTCAACGAGGCCTAATTGCAGACAGAACCGGCGGTGGTCACAAGGCTGAAGAGCCTTGGTGAAGATGTCTGCAGTGTTAGCCTCGGAGGCCACGAAGTCCAGACGAGCCTGCCCGCGTCTCTGCAACTCTCGAAGGAGGAAGTACCTGACGTCGATGTGCTTCACTCTGCTCTCCAGTCGAGGCTCACGACACAGGAGAATCATCGCCTTGTTATCAGCAAACAAGGTCGGTGCAGAGCTCGGCCGCTCACCAAGGTCAGTGAGCAAAAAGGTCAACCAGCGTAGCTCCTGAGCAGCAAGGGCTCCAGCGTAGATCTCGGCCTTTGCGGTAGAAGTCGCAACAGAGGAGGACCGAGTGGACCTCCATGAAACAGCTCCAGAACCCAGGCTGAAACAGTAACCCTGCGTAGACCTCTGAGTCTCAACGTCGTCGGCGTAGGAGGACTCGCAGTGGCCGGTGCGTACAACTGGCTGTGTCCCTCCAAGTACAAGCCCCATGTCTGATGTCGCGCCGAGTTACTTCGCCACCCTCTTAGCCGCCGCCCAGTGAACAGGACGGTGTCTCCCAGTCGCAACAAAGCGAGAAATGATGCTAAGAGCGAAGGCGAGGTCCGGGCGAGTGCACGTCATCACGTACATGAGGCAGCCCACCAGCTCTGCGTAGGGACCACTGGGCTCGAACGGCTCGTCAGGAAAAGGCCGAGTGAGTCTGTGGTCTACAGCAAGAGGGGTGGGTGTAGGAGAAGAGTCCTGAAGCCCGAACCGCTGAATGACCTGCTGCACCATGTGTGACTGAGTCAGAGTGATGGTGCGAGCGGCTCTGTCCCTGGAGATCTGCAGGCCAAGGTAGCGGTGCAGTTCCCCAAGGTCAGTGCAGGTGTGTCTCTTTTGCAGTTCGGACTTCACCTCCGTCAGTGCAAATGTGTCGGCTGTGGCAAAAACCAAGTCGTCAACGTAGACCAGAACGAAAAGGTGTGCGCCCACGACGAACAAACAGCGACGGGTCGGCAGAAGACGACTCAAACCCGAGGTCGGAGAGAGTAGAGCGGAGAGTGTCGTGCCACTCACGGGGCGCCTGGCGGAGACCGTAGACCGGTCGTCTGAGGCTCCACTGGGTCCCAGGCGGGAAAGTGTCAGTGAAACCCGAAGGACGACGCAACCAGATCTCCTCGTCTAGGCGGCCCTGGAGGAAGGCAGTGGAGAAGTCAAGAGAGTGTAGCTCGTAGTCTCTTTGCGCTGCTACGTGCAGTAACACCCGAAGAGTGGTCATCTTCAGGGTGGGCGCGAAGGTCTGAAAGAAGTCAACTCCCTCACGCTGTCTGAGCCCTCTAGCCACGTAGCGTGCCTTGAAGACTGGAGGAGATCTCGGCGGCCGCTTCACCTTGAAGATCCACATGCCGTCAACGATGTTCACCCCTGGGGGGGGAACCTCGTCAACGTAAGTGCCTGTGGACCTGTAGGAGGCCATCTCTGCGTCCATGGCAGCTCTCCACTGAGAGGCACAAGGCCCTGACACTGCCTCAGCGTAAGTGCGAGGAGTAGGTATGTCAGGAGCGTCGGGGTCTCCCTCAGGAGCGAGGAGCATGGCACAGAGATGAGGCGAAGCAACTGCCAGGAACTCTAGCTCAAACTGTCTGTCCTCTAGGACGTCACAGCCAAGGGCAGACTCACCCCCGGCGGACAGAGGACGGACAGGAGGAGCGGCCACAACACGAGCGGCGTAGTCAAGGCGACGCGTAGCAGTAAAGTCAGTGACAGCGGCAGTGAGGACCGCGACGGAGGAAGGAGAGGCACGAGGGTCTGTAACAAGAGAGGCGAGAACACGAGAGAGAGTGGGGCGGTACGTGCGGTAGTAGTCAGTGACCGGAGTGGACAGGGAGGCAGTAAGGGACGACTCAGACGGACGGGGAAGAACAGACTGGGGAGAACGAGGAGGACTAGGACGAAACAACACGGTATGGAGGTCGGTGACAGGTGACGAGGGACGAGCACGAGGAGAACGAGGCGCCCAAGTGTGGGCGAGAGGAGAGGGAGACGGAGGAGACTGAGAACGAGGGAACACAGCCGGAGCCGAGTCCGGAGGAGGAAACGTAGGACCGAACACAGGAGGAGAGGAGGGGAGACCAAGGGTCCGAAGGCCAGTAACAGGGGGCTCCGGCTGCTGCAGCGGCGGCCCCCGCTGCTGCTGCTGCTGCTCCCGCTGCAACTCCAACCTCTCACGCTCCACCCGCTGCTGAACCTCCAACCTCTCACTCTCCACACGCTGCTGCTCCTCGCGCGCAAGACGAAGACGGGCCTGGTGTCGAGTCGGGTAGGGGTGAGGAGGAGGAGTGGTGTCAGGAGACGACGAAGAAGAACCGGCTCCACCCTCGACAGGACCCGGCTGAGCACCCCCAGAGCGAGTACCCCCTGCGGCAGCACGACCAGTATCTGTAGGAGGTGTACCCGCACCCCCAGTCGTGGTGCCTCCAGTGGCACAAGCACCAGCCCCAGACTCTCCAGCTCCAGAAACACCACCAGCTCCAGCACCACCACCAGCTCTAGTACCCTCGGAACGGGCAGCCGCGGCAGGTGCACGCTCAGCGCCAACGCCAAGACCCCCAGAACGGGCGGCTCCTGTAGGTGCACGAACAGCTCCAACGCCAACACCCCCAGAACAAGCACCGCCAGAGCCCTCACCTCGAGCACCAACACCCTCAGAGTCCGTAGTGGCCGGTAGAGGAAGCGCTGGCGGCTGCTGCGGAGGCTGTGAGGACGACTGTGGGGAAGGAGGAGAGACCTAGGGGGGTACCGAGGGGGGGGGGGGAGTAGTGTGGGACACACCATACGGAGCGGGAACAGGGGGGGGGGGTACCGGAGGAGCAGGGGCGGGAGGAGGAAGAGCTGGAGCCAGGAAGAGGGGAGGGGGGGGAACCGGGAGACCTCGACAGGGGTACCTGACGTAGTAGGGGACGGACTCGTCGAAACGGACGTCACGAGAGTCAAAGAACCGGTGGGAGGGAGGGTGGTAAAAGGTGAAGTCAGAGGAGGCCTCTGGGAAACCAAGGAAGACACAGGGGATGGCGCGAGGTGAGATCTTGTCCGCAGAGGTGTCGCGGACAAGAGCCAAGCAGCCCCAGACACTAAACCTCGACGCAACACAAGGGGACCCTGTCCAAAGACTGGTCGGTGAAGCCCCTGGCCGAGAGACGCAAGGCCAGAGGTTCAGCTGGTGAGCGGCGTACCGAGCCGCGTAGGGCCACAGAAAATGGGGCGCGCGGGCGTGGATCATGGAGGTGCGGGCGATCTCCATGACCAGGCCTAAGCGACGCTTTGCAACCCCATTCTGCTGTGGAGAGTCTGGAAGAGTCCAGGACTGGGTCATGCCCTGCTCAGCACAGAATCTGGCGAGAATGCCGGAGCGAAAATCACCCCCACGGTCGGAGTGGAGACAACTGACACGACGACCTCGAGTACCCTCGGTGGCGAGCAGCCACCGGATCAGCGTAGAAGTCACGTCAGACTTCTTCGCCAAAAGGAACACGGTGGTGTACCGAGAGTAATCGTCAACGACCACCAGAAAGAAACTCTCACGCTCAGGGCCAAGGCGGGGAGCGGGGCCCCAGACGTCTAAGTGTAGTGTCTGGAAGGGCTCGGTGGCCGGACGAAGGGAGGAGTGGGGGGTGGCGCGCAGCCGACCCCGGACACAAGGACCGCACAGAGGAGCTGGGGACGGCGGGAGCAGCGGTAGGACGCGGGGGAGGCCTAATACAAGACGCTGACTGGACATAGCGTGGAGACGAGGGAGGGAAGGGTGACCAAGGCGGTGGTGC